GAAAGGCCTTTTGATTTGACCAGCACCTGGCAGTTCTCAGTGATGTTCATTGAGCCTTCTCATGAAACAGCATTATCCAATCAATGAATATGCTTTCATCCCTATTTTCTAGGGCTTCTATAGCCAGTATATAATTTCCAGCAGAGAAAAACAAGGAGTCAATATCCAAATGATTATTGACAATTTCGCATATATATATCTTATTCAAGGTGCAGGGCATAGCTTGGACACATTTCCAAAACTCACACCAGCACATGTATTTCTCATGGAAACATTGTCTAGAGTTTTCTATGGGACAGCAGGAAGTGTCATTATACTGTCAAGTATAATAGCAAATGAGAGAGAGAAAGTCAATGAAAACCAATTTGATTTAATGGGTATCATGGTTATCAGAAGCAGGTTCCATTTTTCACCCTTCAGTTATAATCAAAGCCAACAATTTTGATCCGCAAATTTTTTAGCAAATTGCAGGAAAATATCAAAAACAAAGGTTTTACTTGGCATTGGATCTGTGAAATACTGGACTTATTTTAAGTTCATGTTTCAAATTTTCCTCATCACCCAAGGAATTTGATAATTATATTTTCAAAATATTGAAATTAAGCTACATCATTCTTGCAGCAATTATAATGTCTCGTCGTTGATCTGTAGGAATTCTGAGAGGCCCCATTGCAAATTACATGGCAGTGTTGTGTATAATATGCAATAGTTTTGCCGTGAATGTTATTTTTTGTTAATTTGGATTACTGTACTGTGCTTCACTAGATGATGGATGAAGATTGTACCTGAGCTATGTAATTATGTTAATGTTCCTTGACAGACACTTATGCGAGAACTTCGCATTCAGTGGCATTTATAGAAGGGCAAAAGGCAATGATACAGGAACATAAGTAATCTTTTGGGTAACAATAAGATCAATATGCATGAGTAATAATAAGGTATAGCATGAAATGCATTGTGATATAATATACTAATATCCAAGGCATAACGGTATAAATAAATTATTTGATGGAAATATGATGAAAATAATCATCTTTATACTTCCACAGATGTTCCTTTTTAGAATCATCTCGTTTCTGACAACATTTTTGAGAAGTTCACACGCATGAAATGAAATCAAACAATATTCCCATTTGAACAGAGATTTATTCATTTGGCAAATTTCAACAAGCACTTTTGATATTCACAGCATGAAATTCCACAGCCCTCACCATTACAGACCCATATTGCACATTTCCGATTCACAATCCTTTTTTTGATCCTGAGATATTCACAGTATGTGACGAACCAACACTCAAAATCTCACTTTTAATCGTTTCAACGCTTAATGCCATCAAAGTAATTCGAAGTTTTGAAGGCTTCGATGTTGGATCTAATACTTCAAAAAATTCCGATAATTTGATAAATGTGTTTCTTTACAGGTATGATGGGAGTTTGGGTGACCGAGGCGGGTTCCGTCATCCGTGTCAACACTGGCAGCTATTGGATCCGCACTTTTTGGATCAGTGAGCGAAACAAATAATGCCGGATGTTAGACGCCATCTTTATGGTTCTAAAATGTGTAGTCTAGAGGGCAATGCTGGTGAACCACTGACGGCTTTACGAATGTTACCCGGATAAGTTGAAGTATTACAAAGACTACTCAGGCAATTCCAAGGATTCACAATAATAATGGTTATAATTTGTTTACTTTATTGATAATAAACTCTTGCTAGTGGATGGGATTGATAAATACAAATTTCTTCAATTTGGATTTTCTTTTGATTTTACAACAGAAACGACATCTTACATCTGACGACATCTGACGACATCAGAAAGTACAAGTACTTTTTTCCACCCACCCAAAAAAAAAACCCCCATTCACGGACAGTTTCATTGATGAGAGGGACACAATCGTACGATCGTGAAGGATCTCTCGCCATTCGGCCGCCAATGAATGGGGGGTTCTTTTTTGGGTGGGTGAACCCCCATTCACGGACAGCATCATTGGCGAGAGGGACACAATCGTTCGATCGTGAAGGGTCTCTCGCCATGCTGCCGCCAATGAATGGGGGTAGGGTTTCATGTCTACCCTCTGTTCGGGGGGAATCCTTCGGCGTGGTAGGGTTTCATGTCTACCCCTCGTTCGGTCAAAGTGGTAGTGGTGCTGCGCTGATTCCGAAAAATACGACCAGAGCCGGAACCAGTAAGAATAAGTGTAGGCATACAGATCCAGGGCCACCATCTTGAAATCTTGAAGTCTTCCCTTCCCGACCGAAATTCGCACGTCAATCGGAGGCACCTGTATCAACCAAAGATACACATGTTGAAAAATTTATCAGTTAGAGATCAGTTTCTCTACCTCAAAACCAATGTCTGTCCATCTTGAAAATGAGTCTTGAATAGAGATTTGTTTACTAATAACAAAATAAAAATTTATTACCTCAAATTACTAGAATAATAATGTTCCAAGATAAAAAAGAAGATTCTCATAAAAATTACAGTAATATGCTATATTAGTTCGCCACTACAAGAATATACTGTATATTGAAATATATTACTTCAAATTGCTAATAATACTTATAGTGACGACTTATAATTGATTATACAGTAGTACAGTAATATTGATATAATTACTGGGAAACTGAATATTGGAAATATTTTAGGATTAATAGAGGCAACTCACCAAAACCTTGAACAAAAGTGAATCCTTACAGCATTGAGGCATTCCGCAAAAGTTATCACAGCCTGCAAATAGAGAGGAATTCGCATATATTTTCAAATATTTGAAATTGCAAACATTTATTTCTCAAATCGAATTCGATTAACAAAGATACTAGAAGTCTGGAACCCGGATCATCACTATGCATACGTTTACTTCATTATAGTTTCAGTAAAATGAAGAGGTGGTCATTTTGTTTTTTCCAATTATATTTTGATGGTATGAGCTCTATTTGATGGTCGATGGTATGACCTCTATTTAATTTATCATATTTCCCCTTAGCAACATACCCACTGGTATATTTAGCATATTTCATAATTTTGTCGCTCATGTTCTCCTTTATCCAACATTAGTCACTCAATTAAGTTTTGAAATGGCATTTGCATTCTTGATACTGTGCAGCATTTTTCACCACATCAAAGATTACTCCTATACCTTTCAATAATTTCTGATTTCTAACGCAGTGTCATAGTTCTAGATGAAACAATGCCTGAGATTTCTGCGAGAGTGTGAATTCAGAAAATGCTGTGAATGTAATTTATGTGAAATCGATGAAGATTGCCGTTTCAATGTCAAGGAATAATGGGGGAATAATTTCACACACATTTATTTTACAGCATTATATGCCACTTATTCTGAACTTCCCAACTAGGAATAAATATATACTGTATATACACGTTCCAGAAAACTGAGAAGTGATGGAATGAGGGGCAGTCTAATTTGATTTTGCAGCATTATTTTCTGAATTCATGCATTCATGCACAGAAATCTCAAAATGATTCTTCAAGAACTAATGATACTGAATTAGAAATCAGAAATTATCAGAAGATATAGGAGTATCTTCATGATGCGATGAAAAATCATTCCGTAATTTCATCGGTTGATCAGAAGAATGCGAATAAATACAAAAATGAATTACAATTAATATTGGAAAAAAGAAGAATCTAGGCGAAAAAAAAAACATATCAACCTGACAATTCCAAGACAGAATATTTTGGTTGAAGGTGGAAATTAGCCCACTTTCAACCACATGAATGAAAGCATGAACATTCGAGGTCGGTCACATTACTAAAACAGCATCAACTTCTCTCCCCCACTTGCCCCTAATCGCAAAAATTAAATTACGTTGTTCCCAAATAAATACTGAATCTACGAACACTCGACAAAACGCACTTCTCACTCCACTTGACCGTTCCGAGATCCATTTTCTTGGTCGCGTTGCGAATTGGCACCAATGCTTCCATTCTTCCCAGATTCAGACGAATGCACAATCACGTCAGCGCTGATTCGTTCCCCGTCGCTGCAAAAATGCCCGGCGATATTTTGGCGAAAGGCNACAGATCCAGGGCCACCATCTTGAAATCTTGAAGTCTTCCCTTCCCGACCGAAATTCGCACGTCAATCGGAGGCACCTGTATCAACCAAAGATACACATGTTGAAAAATTTATCAGTTAGAGATCAGTTTCTCTACCTCAAAACCAATGTCTGTCCATCTTGAAAATGAGTTTTGAATAGAGATTTGTTTACTAATAACAAAATAAAAATTTATTACCTCAAATTACTAGAATAATAATGTTCCAAGATAAAAAAGAAGATTCTCATAAAAATTACAGTAATATGCTACATTAGTTCGCCACTACGAGAATATATATTGAAATATATTACTTCAAACTACTAATAATACTTATAGTGACGACTTATAATTGATTATACAGTTGTACAGTAATATTGATATAATTACTGGGAAACTGAATATTGGAAATATTTTTAGGATTAATAGAGGCAACTCACCAAAACCTTGAACAAAAGTGAATCCTTACAGCATTGAGGCATTCCGCAAAAGTTATCACAGCCTGCAAATAGAGAGGAATTCGCATATATTTTCAAATATTTGAAATTGCAAACATTTATTTCTCAAATCGAATTCGATTAACAAAGATACTAGAAGTCTGGAACCCGGATCATCACTATGCATACGTTTACTTCATTATCGTTTCAATATAGAAAATGTAGAGGTGATCATTCTGTTTTTTCCAATTAATTATATTTAGATGGTATGTTATTCATGACCTCTATTTAATTGATCATATTATTAATTATTAATTGATCTTAGCAACACACCCACTGGTATATTAAGCAAATTTCATAATTTTGTCGCTCATGTTCTCCTTTATCCAACATTAGTCACTCAATTAAGTTTTGAAATGGCATTTGCAATGCATTCTTGATACTGTGCAGCATTTTTCACATCAAAGATTGCTCCTATACCTTTCAATAATTTCTGATTTCTAACGCAGTGTCATAGTTCTTGATGAAACAATGCCTGAGATTTCTGCGAGAGTGTGAATTCAGAAAATGCTGTGAATGTAATTTATGTGAAATCGATGAAGATTGCCGTTTCAATTTCAAGGAATAATGGGGGAATATTTTCACACACATTTATTTTACAGCATTATATGCCACTTATTCTGAACTTCCCAACTAGGAATAAATATATACATACACGTTCCAGAAAACTGAGAAGTGATGGAATGAGGGGCAGTCTAATTTGATTTTGCAACATTATTTTCTGAATTCATACATTCATGCACAGAAATCTCAAAATGATTCTTCAAGAACTAATGATACTGCATTAGAAATCAGAAATTATCAGAAGATATAGGAGTATCTTCTACTACGCTACTTTTTAGTAAGGCATTAAAGTAGCCAACTAGTCTTCTTACGCTTATTTATGTTTTTACTTAATGTTAATTATAACCTTTTTTCTTCTTAGATCCGCTTTTTTTTTTGTATAGTTGGAGACAATTCCAAGACAGAATATTTTGGTTGAAGGTGGAAATTAGCCCACTTTCAACCACATGAATGAAAGCATGAACATTCGAGGTCGGTCACATTACTAAAACAGCATCAACTTCTCTCCCCCACTTGCCCCTAATCGCAAAAATTAAATTACGTTGTTCCCAAATAAATACTGAATCTACGAACACTCGACAAAACGCACTTCTCACTCCACTTGACCGTTCCGAGATCCATTTTCTTGGTCGCGTTGCGAATTGGCACCAATGCTTCCATTCTTCCCAGATTCAGACGAATGCACAATCACGTCAGCGCTGATTCGTTCCCCGTCGCTGCAAAAATGCCCGGCGATATTTTGGCGAAAGGCTTCCATTGAATCCTGCTGCTGCTGCTGATGATGATGAATTTCCGACACGACTGGAATGTCTTTGCTGAGGACCGAGTTCAGAGACCCAGGGTTGATTTCAGAGCCTGACGATTCAGGGTCGGTCATGTAAAATTCCTGAAACCAATCGAAAAATATTCATGCACACATTTGGACTCATACAACAACAAAAAACACCACTCAATATTAACTCGAATTAAATTCATTTCTTCATTTTACTAATTTTTTGACCATTTTTATACAACTCCAGCACAGAAAAAAATGTCAATACTGTATATTTGTTCAGATTTTCTCCTCTATACAATATCAATTTGAATTAAGAAAATACAAGTATTGTATTATTATTTTATGAATTCAAACACTCACAGATATCTGATTTTTTTGTTTAAAAAATACACAACATGACATATTTCTTGGGAATCCTTCAGGTCCATTTAAAAAAGTATACCTTTCTTTCAAAGAAACAGTATGTTGGAAAAATGTTCCAATATTTGAACAAGCAAAACAAGTATGAGTGAATGAGTTGCTTCAGAAGCAAGTACAGTACAGCATTTCCAACACATTTCAATTTTTTTTTCATTCTGTCTTTCAAAGACAAACAACACTTTAGTACAAAGGCAGGTTTACTGAAAGTGAAGTACTAGAGTATATAAAGTACAGTACTGTATTTCAAAGATTTTGTAACTATGATAGTTCTTGAGTCATCTGTTTTGAAAGTAATTCAAAGTAATTCAAAGTATTTATTGCCCCTTTCCCAGAAAATGTCATTAATTATCAAACAAATTTATTGTTAAAAAAAATGGTTTATCATGTCCCTGGAAGTTCGTTACAACAAGATTTTACTGTGAATAAAAGACATGAGTAAATTATTGATGCAATGACAAATTGCCCCATAATATCATCTGATGGTCATAATAACGCATTACAAATGACACTTCACACATTTCAAGAAGTGGATACAAAGATAAAATACAATTAATGCTCAACAAAAGATAATCTACGTGACAAAATTATAGACATTTCCCTGCGCTCCAATTTTACAAAAATTGACACAAGAACAAATATTCACGTTCTCACCTTTGAAGAATTGTTTTGGAATCTAATTTTTGCCAGCTTTCTCAAAATTAAGAGCTGCAAACGTTCGAGTGGCCTTACCGTATTTAAACGCCAGGCACGGTTAGCAACCAGTGTGGAAGACGAGGCCTAAATAACCGTCCGACTACTACTAATACTTGTAATCGACCTGCGTAGTGCGGAATGTGTCCAGCACTAGCCTGCCTGTGAAATCGACGCTTTGTGCTAGGATGTTCGGGATGCACAAGAGGACTTTCGCCGCGTTCTTGTTCCATGCTTTCCATCAAGCTTCCTGTTTCTCCACGTTCCCAGTGCGAATCTGAAAAAGAAGAAAAGATTGCATGACATACATGTGACATCTTTCCAAGGATTCCCCAACAATTTGCACAGTTTTTCTTTTTTCGCCACTAAACTTCTGTTGTTTAAAATTAAGGTTCAGGCGAACAAGAATAAAGTATTTTCTTGTGTCTAAATTCTCTTTTGTCCTAAATTAATTGTATGCATTCTTAATTTTCTAAATTTACAAAATGGGGCTTGAGAAAATAAAAAAATGCCGACATAAATTTGTCAATAGAAATCTCTTATTGAGGAACATGATTCTGTTCATTCAAGATGGTTTTTGTGTAGTAAGAGGTAAAAGTTAATGAGATTGGGAAAAATTATCTCACAGCATTAAAATTTGGGCAAACAAAACACACTCAAGACAACTTCAAAATTACTCAAAAAATTTCAAAGATTTCGCATCTCCTTATAAATTTCTAAAGAACTATAACTAAAGTGAGCAAATTTCACATAAATTGGCTTAGGAAAGCAAAATTCCAGAAAAGTCAACAAATCTCTTATGGAGGAACATGATTCTGTTCATCCAAAATGGTTTTTGTGAAGGAAGAGGTACGAGTTAATGCGATTGGGGAAAATAATCTCACAGCATTGGAATTTGGGCAAACAAAACACGCTTCAGAAAATTTCAAAAAAATTGAAAAAATTGAGGATTTCGCACCTCCTTATAAATTTCTAGAGAACCATAACTAAAGTGAACAAAACAAAATTCCAGACAAGTCAAGATACAAGATTTTTAGAAATTAGAGCCTGACAAATCACCTAAAGCCTTGGATAAGAAACAGTTCAGACAATTCAATTTACAGTATAACAAAAGAAGAAGGATTGGGCCGCAAAAGAAGTCGAACATTTTATAAAGTGAAATCTCACTAAAATAACCTCGCGCAGACTTTCGAGAACCATTCGTGCGACTGAATATTTCCCGAGAAAAAGATTTGCGAAATCAATGACTATAAGAATTGCTTCGTATTCAGATCAGTACATATTCACGATCTTGATTTCCTTGAACTTCAGATTCTTATTTAAATCACTGCAATGGATAAAAAAATAGAGTTCCTTGTTTGACAAGGAAAATCCTCACTTCATTCTAAAATGCGTTCACATTGAAACTTCATAACTCATTCAAAAAGTCAGTCCTTCGCACAGTGAAGTAAAAATGAAAAAATAAAATAAAAGGCATTAATCCTTTCAGAGATGTTCCTAATTCCTGAATCCTGCGCAATTCCCAGAAAATTATTTCCAGAAGAGTTTCAGCCCCAAAATGAAGGAGGTAAAATATGTGACATAAAAGCTCAAGTCCTAACAAAGCAAACAAATTTTAAATTCTCCATATTGTCAATTGAAAATCCCAAAGAGATGCTGAAAACGCGTATTACAGGCTTTATGAATATCATTTTTCAAAAAAGAGAACATTTGTTCGGATAATTGCCCTAAATCTTTTTTCATTTTTTTCCACAGCCTCACCTTTTTTTCTAAAACTCAAAATTGGGCATGATAAATCAGAAATTGGTCATATATTAAAATTATTCTTTTCTCTCTCTATTGTTCATTGAAAATCGCACAGGGATGCTACAAAGACGAATATTCATGAATCTCATTCCCGAAACAAACAAACACGTAATTGCCTGAACTTTTCCCCTTTCTTTCGAGAGCCTCGCCTTATTTTTCAACTCGGATTGCACGAGAATTTTTATTCATAAATTTGGAGAGCAACGAAATTTCTGAGGATCAAGTTAAGATCAGCACTTATGGAATCACTGACTTCTCCACTGCCGTCGTTTTTCTGCACGATGGAAAGATGACCAGCTCTGGCTGCCTTGAAGTCGTTGAGCACGTCACTCAACGGCCTGTCCACTTGCACGAATGCCGGATTCACAGCGTGGAAGTCCGCTCTCCTCAAAAGATTCCTGAAAAGCAATTATAAAACGTTTTTTTCAGTTTTATTGACTACCAGACGGTTCTGTAAGACTTCAGCTCCATGAAATGATATTTTGTTTCTATGTCCAACTCAATATCCTTCAAAATTGCAGATAATTTCACTCCTGACCAGCGAATTTCTCACAGTTTGCTGCCAACATTAGAACCAAGTACAGTAGTGCAATTGCAAACAAGAATTTTCAACCAAGAATACAGTATTTGGTAGAATTTTGACTAAATAAAAATACATAAAACAAATCAAGTCAAACAACCAATTCCTTAAAATGACATGGTTGTCATGAAAATCCTGTCCATCCTTCTTGCAAACAGACCATGCTTGAAGCAGTTCGCATATTTCCTACTTCCTCGTCCTTAATGAGAGTTAATGACACCATGCATAAAGTCACACATTGTGCTGAGTTAACAGTCCTTGAAAGAAGGTCAGATCCAGGTCTGACCAGTCTTTCCCAATTCCTGACCTCAAGGTCTATGAAACTATCTGACTTTATATTTGCTTACCAACTGTTTAAAGAGAAGTTCATGCTTTTGTTCATTCTGTAGAAAGCAGAATAAAAATTTACTATTCTTTAAAAAAAAACATATCCAGGAGTCCTCATTTAACACAACCTGGCAATAAGGATAGAAAATCTCATCAGATCAAGTTGTAAGACTTTGATTAACAAATATGATACAACAGTATAGTATTTGAATATAAAGATTTGGGAGAAGTCTATTAGTCAAAGTCTGATAGCCAAGTGTTCTTTCAACTTCTGACTTTTCAACATCAGAAAGCAAAAATTTGAACAAAAACAAGTAAATTGTACAAACAGTAAAATTAACCTCAATTGCAATTGATCCAACAAGACTAAAATAAGGGGAAACAAAATGCAGTAGAACACACAAAAATTGACTATAAAAAGTTTCAAGTTAGGAAAAAAGCGTTTGTGTAGGGGTGAGAAAGAATAATTACAGGAAATTTTAATTAGTGATGTTCTTGACAAAAAATTGCTTCTTATACGAGTTGACAGGATGCAGAACTTGAAGACATAATTCATTTGCACAATGAATCTTACAACTTGTTTCAAAGCAGCTCAAGTTGCATATTTTATTGCCTTTACCTTTTCTGTGCCAATAAAATAATAGATAAAAGGCCTCCAGAAATTTCAAATTACGAAGATTTGAGAATGGAAGCCTTTGAGCTAGGGAAGTTCTTTAGTTCCATCATTTTTCAAATAATTTACACAGGGACTTGAAAAAAATGACATGGGGAGGTATTCGATTTAGACATTTTTGAGTTATTGAGGTTCAACAGATCAATTCATAAAATGCAATTCTCAAAATGGCCTTCATTATTAGGAAAAAAAAAAATATATACAGTAAAATCTCGTTACAACAAATACCGTTACAACAAATTTTTCAATACAACAAACTTTATTTCAAGTCCCGACAGAAATCCTATAGACTACATGTTAAAAAAATCTCGTTATAACAAACTTGGAAATTCCGTTATAACAAACTTTTTTGATGCAATTTTTTTGGTTTTTGTGGAAAAATTTGGAAAAATTACTCAAAATTTGCTTGTGTTATTCACCATTGAAGCCTGAATCAAAAGAGGCCTCAACAGAGGCCCAAATGTTTCAAAATCTCCATGGGATTCACCCAGGAGAGAGAGTTTTTCTACCCTTCCATGTAACCCCTTCCCTGGAACACAGCAAAAATTGCATGTAGTCGAATTGTTTGGACCCCTGGAGGTTAATCCAAACATTCTGTTTCCCATGAACTTGCAGGAAGGACAGTCAAGTACATACAACTTTGATACAGTAGAATAACTGCCCCAACAGCAATGACTTCCCTGGAATACATTTTTTTAAATTTACAGGATCAAACCATGAACCAAGAAGTGCACAGAATCCATCCAAGCATCCAACCCAGGAGCAGTTCTTCAGCATCTTCTGCAGAATAAAAATAAAGATGCATGCCTAAAAGATTAAAATTATACATGTCCCATGCATTGTGAAAGAGGTTCCAGTACAACTTTGGACGATGACTGTTCAACACAAATTTTGTGAACACAGGAATTTTTTTACTTTTTAATTCTGGATACTGTGGAATGCTAAGAATTGTATGAAAAGAATTGCTGGTGAAATTAAAGATAAAAAATTTGGCCACACAAATTATTTTTAATTTTAAATTGCTTGTGTTTCCCACTTTGGTGCATTTCTTTCATTGCCTTTTTTTCTTGCCCTGTGTCTCTACACAGCAATGCATGTCAATTTTATGTACAGGGTTACAAAAATCAGTCAAATTTTGTAAACAAAATGTTCACCTTGCCTCTTTACTGTGCTAAAATGTGTCAATTTTCTTCTAGAAAATGAACAATCATGGAAAGAAAAAATTCAAGCAAAAATATGCAATTGTTTAGCTTGGATTCATTGTGCTGTCACCCTGCAGTCATGGCAAAAATCCTTCCATATTGTTTTTCAAAATTATTCTTGGCAGTCCACAGAATGGGGAATGAAAAACTGAAAAAAAGAAAATGCCAACAATACACTCTTAATAAGAAGCTAAGCATTTTTGCTGCAGTTGATGGCACCAAAAAAAAGAAGGTGGTGACAAGTGAATTTGGAATTATGCCTGCAACTTTGTCAACAATTTTGAAAAATTTTTCAAAAATTAAATTATGTGACTTCAACATGAGACCTCATTGCAAGCAAAAATGTGGACTGCTATACTCATGAAGACCTGGACAAAGCTGTTTTTGCATGGTTTCAAGAAGTGCCATCTAGCAACATTCCTATAAATTGACCCCTAATTCAAGAGAAAGCCAGGCAGTTGGCACTTTCTTTGTACCACAAATCATTTATAGTTAGTGTTGGGTGGCTTAATTGCTTCTATGATTGATTTTGAATTTCAACTAAAGTGATTTGTGGGGAAGAGTCAGCAGTTCTCACCACAAAAGTGAATGAGGGGCAAGTCAGTGAGATGAAAAAAGTATTGCATCTTACAGCACTGGCAGCATTTTCAATGCAGATGAAATGGAATTTTTTTATAAATTGTTACCAAATTGCACATTGGCTCTCAAAAATTATCCTTGTCATGGTAGCAGAAAATCAAAGCAAGAGACTGACAGCCCTCTTCTGTTGCAATGCTTCAGGGATAGATATTTTGAGTCCACTCATCATTGGAAAATCAGCAAAACCACCTTGTTTCAAGAATGTACAAGTGTGACTGGATGACCACTGCAACTTTTTGTTAAATTGCTGAAGCAGGTCAACAAGGACATGCGAATTAAAAAAGGAAAATCTTGCTTGTTTGGGACAACTGCTCTGTCCACATAATTCTTCTTTGCCTAGATAATGTGCAAGTGGAATACCTGACACCAAACTGCACAGCACTTTTTCAGCCTCTGGACCTGGGCATAATAAAAACTGTGAAAGTTCATTATAGGAAAAATATTTTATAGAAAATTCTTGCTAACATTGCATGTGATATAAAGGATACTGACATTGACAACAAGCAAGCAATTGAAATGATTGCTTGTGTCTGGTCAATTACATTTTTTATGCATGCTCTGACATTGCAAGTGATGAAAAATATGATCTGCTGAAAGAAGTTGAGGATGCATTGCCAGCAGCAATGAATAAGAATTTTGTTCAGAAGAAAATCACTGATCTTTTTGAACAATAATTTTAGTTCTTAAACTGAAAGACAAGCCTGATTCAGAATATATGCAGATCTGAGCTGAAAAAAATTTTTTAGTCATTTTTTTTATAATCTCATTACAACAAATTATCCGTTATAACAAACTTTTTCCACGGTCCCCAAAAGTTTGTTGTAACGAGATTTTACTGTATTCTCACCGAATGGAGATTTTGTCTTGTGGATCCACGGTGATCAGCGTTTTCACCAACAGGATCTTGACAATATTTTGAGGGGTTCCATCGTACACTGGAATCCGTGAAAATCCCTTCTTCACTATCTGAAAAAATTGAACAAAAAATATCAAGAGATTTTCATTTGTAAAATTCCCCAAAATTAAGCATCAAATTTCAAAAATTATCTCCACCTTTTCCTCCAATTCAACGTTGAAGTTCACCCACAGAACACAAAAAAAAACAATTCAAATCGAATATCTTAGTTTCCCTCCGGAATAATCGTACCTTGTCGTAGGTTTTGAAATCCAAGACAGCGTCCAAACTCAGCACAAAGGCGTCTTCAAACTCCACCATGGCCACACCCACATTCTTCTCTTTCAAATTCAAAAGCCCTTCAATGACCATCACTTCATCACGTGTCAAAGGCACGTCTGCATCAACTCCGCACTCGCCTTCACAGAAGGCATCGTTGTCCTGGTCATCCGTGTCTTTGACTAATTTCTCTTTGCTGCCCAACAGACTGGACGAATCCCGCTTTTTGCCGTTCCGGAAATTTTGAGGGCCGTGCAATGCCACCAAGGTCTGAAAAAACATGAAAGTTACTCACACACGAAATCACCTTCAATGTTGGAAACGCTTTTGGAAGAATGCGAGCCTAAAAGTTGAATTCACACTCAAGACGATATTTAAGGTCAAACCTCTGCACAGTGAGTCGAACTTCAAGGAATCAGCAGCAAAAACAATTCGAGTTAGAAAGGTTTTGAATAAGGGAAAAAAGCTTTTGTGTTTGGGGAAAGGAAAGAAGAATTACACAAAATTGCAATTGGGGATATTCTAGAGACCTTAGATGAGTTGACAGGATGCTGAACTAGGAGACAAATAATTNGACAACAAGCAAGCAATTGAAATGATTGCTTGTGTCTGGTCAATTACATTTTTTATGCATGCTCTGACATTGCAAGTGATGAAAAATATGATCTGCTGAAAGAAGTTGAGGATGCATTGCCAGCAGCAATGAATAAGAATTTTGTTCAGAAGAAAATCACTGATCTTTTTGAACAATAATTTTAGTTCTTAAACTGAAAGGCAAGCCTGATTCAGAATATATGCAGATCTGAGCTGAAAAAATTTTTCGAGTCATTTTTTTTGATAATCTCATTACAACAAATTATCCGTTATAACAAACTTTTTCCACGGTCCCCAAAAGTTTGTTGTAATGAGATTTTACTGTATTTCCGTCCGTCTGTATTTAGACTCTCATGCACAACGAGCATAACAGTTTACGAACCAATGTTGTACTTGGAGTAAACCTGCGTGTTTTTTTCTCATTAAAAAACTTCAAAAATTTTTTCAAGCGTGAATCAGTTAACCTACTTCAGAAGAAAGTAACACAAGACAATACTTTCTTCCAAAACGGATACATGAGGAAAGCAAATAGAAAAAAAACGCGTAGTTTTTCTCTTTTGAAACGCATTTCCGTTGGAACGGGTCCAAATGCGAAGCGAACGTTTGAATCTCATCAGACTTTTTCATTCATTCCCTGGTTTTTCTCGCTTTTCTCTTAATCTTCAAAGATGTTCGTTTTTATTCAGGTAAGTGTTTCAATTCTCGGAAATAGATCCTTGAAAAATAAACGGAATGTTCGCCGAAAGGATTTGCGCAGCGAAATGCTTCTTCCTAATTATCATTTCTGTTACGTTGTCGTGAAAACTAGGAAAGGTTCTCATAAATCTATAAATAGAATTTATAATTTATATAAATTATAAGTTATATATTCGAAATTTCGAAAAACCCTTGACTTCCGTTAATAAATCGGGAGGTCATTCGAATACATTTAAAGATAAAACATTTCAGAAATTTCGTCACAAATGAATTACGAATTTCAGCAGAAATATATTGCGGTGAAATTGACTCACGTTCTTGGAAATGTCTGGGATGACACTGATTTCGGCTCACAAAAAAGTACTGTCCACAAACTTTTTTTTGCCTCGTGACGAATGATGTTCTTAAACCTTGCACATGCGTTAGATAAAAAAGAATCAAATTTTAAAAAATCTTGGCACTGAAACAAGAGGGGAGACTTGTTTCAGACATCATGTGACATGAAACGTGGGCGGAATGACGCATTACGTCCCACTAACTTCACTTGTCCCACTAACTTCATTTTCAGGGGAAAAAATCTTAAACTTGTAACGTCTCTTGTCACACTCGCTTGTACAGGTGACACTTGAAAAAAAAGGAAAACGAAGTTCAGCTGGAGAAATAATCAACTCTTTTAATTTGAAAGACTTTACTGCAATTAGACGGGATATAGGTATCAAATTGATTATCAAATGAACAGGAACCGCGCTTTTCTGACTTCAGAATTCTGATGGTTCAGCCATTCTGAAGAAATCACTGTCTATTTCCAGTACAGCATTTCAAATTTAATGATATCATCAGAAATCTTTACAAAATCGGCATGTTTAATTATAAATTTCAGTATCAATTGTTGTAAATAATTATAAGTCCATTGTCCATTGTTGTAAATAATTGAAGTACTGTACTGTATAAAGCATGCTTTTTTCTACGCAAATTTTCCTTCAGTTGGCCTTGGGGATCATATTCATGCATGAGAGCTGATGATTTCAGTATATTACAAAAAGTAATTCTCTTATACTGTACTTGAATCAATTCTTTGTTGGTTCGTATATCAGAATATATTATTTTTGAAATATATTCATCTGAAATTTTTATAGATACAGTAATTTTTCGAATATTTTATGAAAGATTAATGCCAACACGTTTTATAGAAAATTTAAACACGGCAATAATTCAATTGATATTTGAATTGATTTTTTCTCTTCCTCCGCTGTAATGGAACAGTATCTCAAGACATATTTTGGCTTTATATCTTCAAGATGTCGCTCTATCTATTCTGGGAAATGTCAAGCCTTGAATCACGCAATGCAGGTGAGAAAACAAATGCTAAATTGCCTCTTTCAAAATTGTATTCTTTCTCCATTCAATTTTTTAGACCATAGAGAAGTATCCTAAATATACATTAGCTTCCAGGACTTCAGTTTTTTCTTGGCTTCTATTTTTCTACCTTCCGCGATGAGCAGGAAAATGAAAATGTTTTTTTTGCGAAACGAAATCTCTCACACATACAATGAACAGCGTATTGTTTCAAAAGTAGCACAGAGCATACAGAATGCAAATTTCCCTCCGTCTCTGTCCGTGTCCCAATAACAAATCATGCCTATCAGAAGCTGCAGCAAAAAAAATTCGAACTGTGCCAAATTTAGCGCAACAGTGTCGGCTCAGCAGTAACTAGGTATAAAAAAAAAGTTCTGTAATCATCCAGCATCGCGAGAGACGTCGAGGAAATAATTCAGCGGTTTCGAGTCGACATCAGCGGGATAAGATCTAGGCTCCCCGACGTCGTCGTTTTTCTGCGCAGCAGTNTATCAATTGTTGTAAATAATTATAAGTCCATTGTCCATTGTTGTAAATAATTGAAGTACTGTACTGTATAAAGCATGCTTTTTTCTACGCAAATTTTCCTTCAGTTGGCCTTGGGGATCATATTCATGCATGAGAGCTGATGATTTCAGTATATTACAAAAAGTAATTCTCTTATACTGTACTTGAATCAATTCTTTGTTGGTTCGTATATCAGAATATATTATTTTTGAAATATATTCATCTGAAATTTTTATAGATACAGTAATTTTTCGAATATTTTATGAAAGATTAATGCCAACACGTTTTATAGAAAATTTAAACACGGCAATAATTCAATTGATATTTGAATTGATTTTTTCTCTTCCTCCGCTGTAATGGAACAGTATCTCAAGACATATTTTGGCTTTATATCTTCAAGATGTCGCTCTATCTATTCTGGGAAATGTCAAGCCTTGAATCACGCAATGCAGGTGAGAAAACAAATGCTAAATTGCCTCTTTCAAAATTGTATTCTTTCTCCATTCAATTTTTTAGACCATAGAGAAGTATCCTAAATATACATTAGCTTCCAGGACTTCAGTTTTTTCTTGGCTTCTATTTTTCTACCTTCCGCGATGAGCAGGAAAATGAAAATGTTTTTTTTGCGAAACGAAATCTCTCACACATACAATGAACAGCGTATTGTTTCAAAAGTAGCACAGAGCATACAGAATGCAAATTTCCCTCCGTCTCTGTCCGTGTCCCAATAACAAATCATGCCTATCAGAAGCTGCAGCAAAAAAAATTCGAACTGTGCCAAATTTAGCGCAACAGTGTCGGCTCAGCAGTAACTAGGTATAAAAAAAAAGTTCTGTAATCATCCAGCATCGCGAGAGACGTCGAGGAAATAATTCAGCGGTTTCGAGTCGACATCAGCGGGATAAGATCTAGGCTCCCCGACGTCGTCGTTTTTCTGCGCAGCAGTGTGTGTGAGGCCATACGTATGTACTTTCTGCTCTAGTCTCCCTCCCTGTGAAAAAATACCCCAGCTATCCAGTCGAGAGGAGAGGGTGTTTCGAGGGAACGGGAGGGACGGGATATGCGATGGTTTTCAGCTCTCCCAAACTGCGGAATATCCGAGAGAACTGCGTCTTCTGCTGTTGCCAGGGCTCTGCTCGCGATGCTGCGTTCTCGACTCGATGTGGGCGAAGTGAGCCGCACCTGATGCTGTTGTTTTGGTTACTATGGGTTTACCCGACTATTCGGCCATGGTGTTTTGTGTTCGTAGCGTGTGTTTGTGTGAGTATGAGCCGCATCCGGATTTTGAGCAGCCAATTAGTTGCAATTTACTGTATTTATACGTGAGTACAAAGGGCATAATTTTTTTTTTCCTTCTTGAAAATCGAGGCAGAAATTTAACGATATACGGTTCTAAATGTTTTTGAAAGAAGAAAAAATCATGAAAACTCAGCAGTTGCGAGTTGTAAGTGAGTCTGTGTAGGTGAACATAATGAACCGGAAATTCTGCTTTGCATCAATCCCCTGTGGCAACATTAACAGAACACTATTTTGTTACAAGTTATCATTTGAAAATATTTAAATATTCAGCCCAAAAAATGGCGTTCAGTTGTTGGGCATATTCCACACGAAAAGTTTTTCTGGAGGGCCTATGCATTAACCGGTTAATTGCTGTCATGCGAAATATAAAAATACAAAAAAGAAGAAGTATGGCCTCTATACTCTTATACCGTATTTCCTTGAGTACCACATGCCTTCGAGTAAGATGCACTAGGGCCTATGCATTAACCGGTTAATTGCTGTCATGCGAAATATAAAAATACAAAAAAGAAGAAGTATGGCCTCTATACTCTTATACCGTATTTCCTTGAGTACCACATGCCTTCGAGTAAGATGCACTCATTTATTCCTAGTTCCAATTCTGAACAATTCTATTACTGCATAAGACATGCAGCACTTCAGTTTTCAGTACCCAAAAATCATATTTTAAAATCTTAATGGGGGTGAAGATACAAGTGCACTTGAAAGTTGAATTCAATTTTGAAAGAAACAGTTTTTGGCAGTTTAACAAAAAAATCAACTGTTTCAGGATTACGGCTGTGAGATTAACTCTTACTTTAATGGATACTTGCATTGGTAGAAATTTGTGA